AAACAATATTTAACAGTGCACGGCAATGTGCAATCTCATTTGCAATGATAAATACCCGGTCGTTTGAAGATGATTTTCAAAAGTTTGTAATACATTTTTCTGCAAATGGATGGACGATCTGCATTTTTTGCACTTAAACTGCTTTAGTGTGTATAATTGTGTGTGTAGTTTAATTGGAAATTTAAAAGAAGGCGAAACTCGAACAGGCATTTAGTACATGGGCACCCTTAACCTAGTATTTGCAGTATCTGCAGCTTCTCCCTTGATAATTTGTTGATTCATTGTTATCAGCGTTATAAAATAAACTGCACCGAACATAGTAATATCACACTCAATAATTGATAAATAAAAATCACTGTCAGTTTAATAACGCAAAGTATATTTGAAAAGTTTATCAGATCTACAGATGCACCCGCACTAAGAGAAAAATGACGAATTAAAAGTGCATATGTGCGCCCCAAGCCTCAGGCGCGAAGAGGCCGGAGTGGGAGCCGCCGTGACCGAGAAAAATCGGTTCACCCTCGCATAAAAAGTAATCACTTCAAAAACTGGTGGATCAAGAACGAATGAAAATAAAATCACTTCGAAAAAAGTGAATGATTAATACTGAATAAAAAGATTCCGATCGAGTACGGCCCTGTGGGACACACCTTCTCGTACGATTTCACGTAACTGTTTGGTACCGTATTAAAAGGTACTTCCTAGAATATCACTTCTTCGTGTGATTCGAGGGTGTGTCTGACCGTAAAAGCTGTAAAGTCGGCCCCTAGTCCAATAATAGAACCGAATTCCCAGCGAATTGAGCAGCATAACAATGAACCCTCGCAGCGCCAGGAGGGGTTTTTCTTGGACAATTTGCGGGTGACGCACGAAGTGGTTGAAAGGTCAATGACAACGGCGATGGTTGGGCCTCGATGCCAACCTGATGTCAGTTTTGCCAATTGGCCGTCACAATCACCCGATTTAAGCCTCTTGGACCATCAAGAAACACAGGCGTTCGCATCTTAGACGGTTTTTTTTTGTTCGTCTTGCTATGATTAAAGACCCTCATCAACCTGTCGGCTAGCCGTTCGACGAAAACCGACTTGGGTGGGTCATTTTCCAGGAACCCACTGGTCAGGGTGACGCAACATGGAAACAATTCCCCTTTTGCAAAATTAGGGCGCCCGCCTACCTGGACCGATAATGATTATGATGATGAAGAATTATGACACCCATTCGAAGCCCATTAGCAAGATTTGCAATTGGATCAGCAACAAGTGGGGGGAAAAAATTGAAATTGAAAATTCATCATCCAACGTTGTTACGTATAAATGAAGAGTTTTTCGTTGTCCGATAATTATAAGATGAAAGGGATTTTTCGCGGCGTAGCGGACAAATAATTTTTGGAATTAGAAAA